GGGGGGTCTTTGTCAAAAACAAAAGCTGTAAAACTTCTGAAAATAGAGTAAAAAGATTCCAGAATTGACGCCCTTCTTCACATTTTTTTAAATCCGTGTAGTGGGCCTGATGCACTACTTGCGATTCTGGTCCCATCCTCATGTTTGACACCCCTGATATAGAGTATATAAGACCACTCTGGTTTCTGAAATAGTTTCATTAAGTGAAAAAAAGGAAAGAAAAACTATCTTCAATATGACACAGGATATACTTACTGTCTGATGAGTTGAATAGCATCCTCATATTTCATCCCACTTTCTATCAGAGCCAAAGCAACAAGCACAGGAGCCCTGTGTGCACGTATAAATACAACACAATCCATGTTTTAGGCTATACATGTCCAATCAATTCTGCTTATCTGTTTCTTGGCAAATCTTTAAGTCATAGTTTTTAGTATAAGCACTCCAAATCAAACATATGAGTTATTGTCCAGTGATGCTAACTTATATGTGTGCACACACACCTGTCTTCCTCTGTATTTTTAAATTAAATTTTTACTTTAAATGTCTCCTACCTCCCTAATCCAGCCACACAGTGAACAGCCACACAGCTTCCTGGATCCTCCTGAAATGTCTTCTTTAGCAGATTCAACCAATCATCGACCAGCTTACTGGGTGGCGGGGCTCCATCATCAAATGGCCAGTCCTAAAAGAGAGGCCAAACAGGTGCTGTCTGGTGTACTGTATTTGATCATAGAATGAGTAAATATTCATATTAAAGGTGTGTGTTTCTGAACTTACCACCACTGTAATGCCATCTTTCTCAAGCCGTGTTTTGTCATAAGTGACATCACAAACTCGGACCACTGTTGTGGCACCATATCGCTTCAAGTCCTGGAAGTGGTAAAGTGAGGAAAAAAACCTTTTTTGAAGTCACAATACACAAGCTGACATCACAGAGGGAAACAAGCATGCAGGTAATATCCTAATTTTATTACGCTTGTCATTATAATATTGTCTACCCTTGCAGGACACACATACTCACATATATTTCTCACCTCTATGAAGGAGCTGAGTGTGCCATCTGTTGGGTTGTGTGTAATAAGAAATCTCATGTTCTTGTGGCACAGTTCGACTGGAGCTGGGCGATTCATGTTGACCAGTGTGAAGAATTCTTGCGTGTGTAACCCCTGTAAAAACCAGAAGTCATCTTTTTCACATTTTGTTTTTGTAGAATATGGATAAAAAATGCCAAGAAATGACTGGTTATGTAATGTTATGTGTTATGTGCTTTTTCTTGCTAGTAAAAGCAAGAAAAAACACCAGTAATAGTATGATAAGATGTAAATATTAATGGCTGAACTGTAATAAAGACTTTCAAAAATAGTAAAGCTCAACTTTGGGTTTCACTGGGGTTTCCCACAAGGTAATCCAGAAAGAATAGGACCCTATGCAGCTTTAGTCCATGTTGTAGGTCTGTCATAATGTGATCAGTAGAATGTATTATTAGTGCAGACCTGGGCCCTTTGGTTTCCCTGATCCACCCCATGTGGTCAATGGGAAATTAGAATTAAGATATAAATAGGTATACGTCATTCATTTTCTCCCATTTAAAAAAAATTATTTTATTGGAAATCACATTACAGTTTTGTTGCTTCTATTTGAAAGGTGATTGCTACATTTTTTGTTTGTTTCTTTATTTACATTTGTACATATGTGTGTGTATGTGAATGAAACTTCACAGAGCAAACATTTATGAGATGTGTGTTTGGGGGGAAAAAAGAAAAAAGTATTTATTTACTAAAATCAGAGATAAAGTTGTGTTCTTAGTTTGTGGTTAGCAGATTGCTGGCTTTAAGGATAACAATTTAAATTGTCATTATGATCCTAAACATGCAGAAAAACACAGGAAATTGACTGATGCAGAATGAAGACAGACACTAGATGCTTTGCTAGTAAAGGTGCAAAAGCAACCAAGCTTTACACATCCAGGGATGGAGCAGTCAAGACCAGCTTTGTGATTTCTCGCAGAGGGACTACGATAGAGAATGATTTATTCACACAGGTAACTGTATGTCTGGATAGGCCGGGGCTTAAATGACACAAATTGGCAGTGTAAACTCAGCGCTGAAAATTAACCACATTGTTGATGTAGCTAAAATAGCTAACTTCATTAGGGCAAGAGGACTGAATCAAAGACAGTTTGTTGTACTTCTGCAGGAGCATGAAACTGAATATGGTGACATAGGCTACCACACAGCTGCCGGGTAGCTCAGCCTGGGTAAAGTGCTGAAGAGTACTGCATGGGACCTGAGAGAAAAATTAAGAGCTTTGTGAGAAGAAAGGCAAAGATATTCCAGAGCTCTCGGATGCATTTGCGGTTAATGGGTCTCTCCTTTGCATTTCCACCCCAGATGCTGAACCTCATTTTAATACACTTGGTCAAGCTCAAAACTGGACTTCCCTCATGAACAGGAAAGAAAACTGAGAAACTGGAGATGAAGTAATTAAATTACAAGTAAAATACCACTTTGTACTAAGCTAAAGGTCTTCAAAACTTTGCAAAACATGCACATTTTCTTCACAGCTGTTTGAAAATGTTGATTAAATAGTGATTGTAACATCTCCTCTCATCACTGGTAGTTTATAAAAAGAGTTATTAACACTGAGCAGAGCTGCAATAGCAAAATCAATAGATATACTTCCATTTTTAGATTGCGTTGGATTGTAAATGTAATAAAATACTTATTACAATTACAATTACAATACTTAATACTTAAAAATATTAAGGGAGGTCCCAACACCATAAGGCATTTTATGACATTTGATTTCACACATTTGACAAGCTGCAAAGAATTTCTAGCAGCACTCAACATCAACCATCACATCTTAAGCTTAACTATGTTTCTAATGTCTGTCATTTGGAAACTAGTGCCATCAGCAGACTATAAACTCTTGTTAATTGACCAATCAGCATGCATTATCAGAATTCCAGCTTTATACCGGCAGCATTCGCTTTCTGGTAAGTATAATGAAAGGAAATGAGTAAAATAACCCAATAAGAGAATTTTAATCCGTGAATACTAATACTAGAAGCTGGTGTAGAGTCATTTAAGCAGTTTAGCTCCATTCATTCCAACTGACAGAGCCTTAGCTCGCAAGTATTCTCTGCTGCCTCTGACTGATGGTTAATAGGATTAACAGGAAGTGAAATGGCTTCCTGAGTTTTTAGCTGTACCATAATGTATGCTTACCTAACACTTCCTGAAAACAGTGAAAAATAGTTAATGCATGTAACTGTTCACAGTAGGGTTTGGAGACTTTTTCTTTCTTTTTCTCAGAAGCTAGTGAGTGAGTTCTGGAAAGTGACATTTCTTTCTCATTTTTTTTCAAATTTCTTCTTCATTTTCTTCCAGGAGTATCAGGTAAGTGTCAGCAACAAAATACGGCAACTTAGACTAAGACACCAAAACATTGTTGATGTGTAAAGTAGCACTTTGAGCAAGAGAAGGAAATATGTGACTTTGATCTTAGGTGAAATTCAATAACACTGAAAACAGAGAAATCATTTTTTCCATGTAAGACCTAGAAGTTAAAAGCATCATTGTTAGTAAAACCTACTCTTCAAGAAAGGCAAATCATTTAATCTCATACTGACTGCCTTAAAGAAATTTCTACTGAATCATACAACCAATGAAATGTCATGAAATATTAAAGTGTTGATGCATTACTAGATTTAGGTCATTGACTCCTCACCTTTAGCTCCAGCTGTTGCGTTTAGTAGCTATGTCTTCAGTTTATATTTGATCTCCAGGTGAGCCAGAACTCCTATTTTCAGATATTTTCCCAGGTCTGACGTCCTATAGTCTTGATTGTTATCCCATCAGTTAACAGTCTGCTATAGTCCAGAAGGTTACAGTGTGTCGACTTTCTCTGTGTTTTTATTTCTTTGACCACACTCAGTTTTAGTCACGCTCTCTTTCCGTCTTTCTCCTGTTAGCTTTCAGTGTCAAGGCTCCGCTTGTTACCCCATGAGCTGACAGGTTCAGAGGTCAAAGGCCAGTGGTCTTGTAGGGTTCATAACCCTAGGACTACATGGTGCAGCATTATCCCAGATGGGGTTTAAATGTGTTGGGCGTGGCAGTAGTCACCACTTCGCCTCACAAACTCCATCAACCAGCAATTCTGAAATACAAAATATATTAAAAGTCAGCTTCCACTGAAATGACACTGATCGTGGTCCTTTTAGTAATTTAGCACATATTCAGTTTTTTGCAGTTCCATATAACCCAGTTATTAGAATGAAAATGAATGAAAAATGTGGGAGTAGTTACTAGTTACTACTAGTCCCTGTAAAAACTTAATTTGTTAATGTTAAATTAACAACAAGATCAAGGTTGCCATATACTCAATTACATGTTCAACGACACTAATACTTTCAAGAAACATATAATTCAACTTTATTTAAGAAGACATACCAACATAGACATTCAATATAACCCATATGATATTGTTTGATGATGATAATGACATTTGTACAATATCAACAAAATTAAGTTAGCTTTGAAGAAAAAAATGAGCAGAAATTCTCATATAAAGTGATGCTCTAATTCAGCGGTCCCCAACCCCCGGGCCTCGGACCGGTACCGGTCCGTGAGTTGCTTAGTACCGGGCCGCAAGAGTTGAGGCTCAGGTGTGAAATGTATGGTTTTCAGGGTTTTTATCGGTTTTCAGCGTTATTTTGTTATCGTTTTTATCGTTAACTCGGTTTTCCTGGGTCTTTTCACGTGTGTTATGAATAAATCTTCTTTTTTTCGGTACCGGTACTGGTTTTATTTTGTCGTATTTATCCGCGACATCTTAAAGGCCGGTCCGTGAAAATATTGTCGGGCATAAACCGGTCCGTGGCGCAAAAAAGGTTGGAGACCGCTGCTCTAATTAATCTAGCCTAGGTGTTTTTGTTGTGGCTCAGCACGAAAAAAAGACAAGATAAAAATATTTTGTGAAACTGTGGAGAATCTGAAGTAACTTGCTTTGATTTATTCTGAACCTTAACCCCACATGCATATCAGTTTAATATATTTTCAGGAAAAAAGGCTCTGTTCAGCAGTTCAGCACATACAGAGTTATGAAAGCATTTAGGATGAACACTGCTTGTTAGTTATAATGCAGTTTCTCTAAAGTACAGATATAAGTTGTGTTAGGCTCTTCTTAATGTATGATTCAAAACAAAGCACTGAATCATCTTAATAATATTTCTCATAAAAATGCAGCATACTTTTAGCTTTCCAAATAATTCTACCTACCACTCACACAAGGCAATCAAATAAACAACAAAGGAAGGTCCAGGGGTAATCTCTGGTCACCTTTTGGCCTCTGCACTGACAACACACACAGACACACACACACACATAATCACTCACAGACTTACACACTCACTCTTCCAGAAGAGGGTAGTCAGTTCCAAGTTGTTGACAATCTATATTTAGGATTTTATCCTGTGTCACCGCTAATCGGGATAGAGGTCGCTTATTTTCCACTGAGCTGGTTAAAAGTGAACATTCATTTCACTTGAAGCCTTGTGCGACCCGAGGGCACCAAAGTTGCAACGGAGACACAGGATAAAAGCTAATTTGCAAAGCAGCATAGCTGGCACTGTCACAGACACTCTGTGAGTACACAGAAACCTGTTTTAAGGCATCTAAACTTAACTAAAAGGTCAACTGTTCACAATTTTAGCAAACATCTGAAGTAGAATGATTTCATATGAGGGTAACATACAGAAACAGACAGAAGTAATTCCAGTTAAACCTTAAAGCCAATTGGCACTTTTACCTTAGAGTGTAGTTTGGTTTGTAAAAATAGGCATGTCTCCAGACTGGCTGCCTAGCTGTTTCACTGTCACATGGTGGATCAGGACACAGAGAGGCTAAAATGGATCTCAGTATTATTTTAGAGCCACCTTATGGTTACTTCTTCACAAGGTCTGAAATGTAAAGCTGAATGAAACGGATAGTAGTGGTCTTTAAACAGATTCGATTACACATTCGTTTACTGACTTCCAGTTAGCTGATAAGAGCATCAGATTCAATCACTCAGATCACTCAGAAAAAGAAGTTGTGCTAAATAACTACGTTTTTACTTATTTTCTGGAAGCTTAACTTCCCTCTTACCTCAGAGGAC